GAAGGATGTCAAGCTTGGTAAGGTGGAGGGTAGACAAAAGAGGGGAAGACCCTCAACGAGATGGATTGACATGGTGGCTGTGACAATGGCTCAAGTATAGCAAGGATCATGGAGCTGGTGGGAGACCGGGTGGTGTTTTGTTCTGCTGTGCATAGGGTCGCTATGAGTCAGACATGACTCAATGGCACCTAACAACAACAACAACAACTTCTGTTGTACATATGATGCTAGGAGAACTGCAAGGTTTACTGACTGACTTCCCTAGTTTCCATGATAAGAGAGTGTGGTTTGAAGAATAGTTCCAGAATGTCAAAGCCTTTCTTCTATGGATAATTAAATGCCTATTCATAACATGAAAATCATTTAAAACCATGGTAGATTATAGACAGTCTCTCTTAGGATCAGTAAGTATTCCTAGTTCTACCAATTTTTATCCTGAGTTTTTGATCTCTCTGTCTAAGTTCCTACTCCTCTGGTTACTCTCTGAACAATTTGATAATTGGTATACATGCTTGCTACTTTTACACCCATGTTTTACAACACAGTTTGGATCATGAGACATAAACATTCTGTGTTTCCACACTCTCTCTTCCTGCCTTAACTTGATACCCACACTCCTACATAAATTTCACATTAAGAGATTCATGGCTGCCAGGGAACTCCCCTTGCCTAAAAAACACTTTATCCTGTGCCAGACACTGATAATATAAATGAGCCAAGTCTCAGATCTCTGAAAGCTCACATTTCACTGAGGGATTTTATGAAAGGCTTGCAAAAAGGTTAGCATATAGTACCTAAATAAAATGAAGAAGTGAAAAATTGTGTATTTGCAATAGACTTTAACTCTACCAATAGTACACGGATAGATTATAGTGCGAAAACAGGGTAGGAGACAGGGAGAACTGCTAGAAAGTTATCTCCAAAGCATTCATGGAGTCTGAAATAAGGTAATAGTGATAATGGAGAGAATAGATTGAACTAGGAAGACCAAGTGATCACCAGGATTGGGGAGATAAGGTTTCAGGTTTAGGCAACTGCAGTGATTATAAATGACAGGAATGAGAGTAGATGTGGGTGGAAGATAACAAATTCACTTTGACATACTGAATTTGTGTTACTTATGAGGTATTCAGGTTAAGATGATTAATAACGAAAATCAACTGTCAAACTGATTTCAATTCATGGCGACCCCATGTGTGTCAGAGTAAAATTGCACTCCATAGGGTTTTCAACAGCAGATTTTTTTGGAAATAATCACCAGGTATTTTTTTTTCTGAAATGCCTCTGGATAAAGTAGAACCATTCAGTTAACAGCCAAGTACAAAAATGTTTCCACCCCCCAGTCACTCCAAGATGAAGAATAGGCAGCTGGAAATAAGAATCTCAATTTCAGATTAAAGGTGAAATTTGCATCAATATGATATGATCCTAATAATTGACAAGTCTTTGCCATATACTAGGCCTTATTTGGGAGCTCTGGTAGCATAGTGCCTAAGGCACTTGAGTGCTAACCAGAAGGCTGGCGGTTCAAACCCACCAGCCACTCCTCGGAAGAAAGATGGAGCAATCTACTTCCGTAGTGATACTGCCTCGTAAACCCAAGGAGGGGTTGCTATGAGTCTGGTCTGACTCGAGGGCACATAACAACAACAGGCCTTAGTTACTTCCCACGTTGGAGTAGGCTCTTCAGCTCACCAGCTGATAAGATACATCAAGGTAGATTTGGTTTCTCTTTCTTAAAACTAAAACCTCATTTTCACTTTTAAGCTGTGTTCTATGTGGCCTCCTTGCCCATTTATCCCTATATATATGAAATAGATTTTCTTTCTGAATTGAACATAAAGTCCTTTTTTGATTTTTATCTGCTGGTTAATCTTACTCCCTTGTTCTCTTTCTTTTCTAAGATTTATATCCACATCCATGAATCAAATAAAAAATACTATGAAATAAGAACTGAGAATCTTCACAAAGATTATAGAAACAGAAATTTATTTGACATCCATCTTTCAACTAAACAGAGCCTTCAAGGCAGAGTGGTTAAAACGCTCAACTGCTAACCAAAATATTGGCAGTTAGAACCCACCAGTCACTCCATGAGAGAAAGATGTGGCAGCCTCTTTCAGCCTTGGAAACCTTGTGGGGCAGTTCTGCTCTATCTTACGGGATTGGAATGAGTTGGATTCAACTCAATAGTAAAGGATTTTTTTTTCTTTCAATTATTAATCAGTCAACCAGATAGCTTACAGTGCAGAAGTAATTGCACATGCCTAATTCAATAGTGAATTGATTTATTTTTTCCTTGTAGAATTTGACTGTAACTGCACTGGAGCACTTAGTTTCTCAATTCCCTGTCAATTTGACAATTATAACATTTGATACATACAATAGAATTATTTAAGTCCAATTTCATCCTAATTTTTATTCTAAAATGCTTTTAAAATCTCAGAGAATGATCCTTTTATTCAGGGACCTGCATAGCTCTTTCAATTTTTCTGCTTTTTATATCTACACATAAAACACTATTTCTTATAAAATGGAAAATATTTTTTTACCAGCAAAAATATTATTAAAACATGTCATGAACTTGTGCTTCTTCTTTTAACTGTAAATTTAGAAGGTCTCCTTGAAAAGAGATTCCTTTCCCTAAGGTTGATGATGACAGATGTGTTTATAGGCTCATTAGTTCTCAATCTTTGATTAAAGATAATCCTGCATGTTGCAAACATTAAAGTCAAATTTTGTAAACTTATTTCAAAGGGGAAATAATGTGTATTGTTGAACAGACTCCTAAGTGTCCTTTTGGTGAATTTCATGCACATGAAAATTAAGTGGTGGATCATTTTGTTATAATTTTTTTCCTCACGAATGAATTAAAAGTTGTTATGGGGAAATGCTTATTCCATGTAAAGAATCTCCACAACAAAACTATATTACCATTAACTTTTGGCATAGATTATGAATGATTCTATGGGGCTTGAATTTTATAATCAGCCTATATTATTAATTTAATCATATATTCAGATGACAGAATGATTTTCCCAGGTTGGGGATATTTTTTGTTTTTTGTTTTTTCAACAAGTACATTGCTTGTGGTAACAATGTGATCGATGGATATAGGGAAGTAAAAGGCCATGGCAGAAATACTAAGATAAAGATTCAGGTAAAAACAAGGGAAATGAATAAGAATTTTTTTTTTTTTTTTTTTAAGGTTTATTATTCTCCACCCCAATCCCATGTATTTCCATGGAGAATGAGAATTTCATCCTTCAGAAATACAGTCCAATGAAGTATACACTAAAACTTCATTTTCTTATTTCAATATTATGTATGTGAGTTCACTATGCCAAGCCTGGGGAGATCTGGTAGCATAGTGGCTAAGGCACTTGACTGCTAACCAGAAGGCTGGCGGTTCAAACCCACCAGCCACTCCCCGGAAGGAAGGTTGGGCAATCCTACTTCCGTAGTGATACTGCCTCGGAAACCCAAGGAGGGGTCGCTATGAGTCAGGGCTGACTCGACGGCACATAACAACAACAACAACATGCCAAGCCTGGGTGCTCCGGTGGCATAGTGCCTAAGGTATATGACTGCTAACCAGAAGGCTGGTTACCAGCTACTCCCTGGAAGGAAGGTTGAGCAATCTACTTCCATAGTGATATCGCCTAGGAAACCCAAGGAGGGGTCGCTATGAGTCAGACTTGACTCAATGGCAGTGGGTTTTGTTTATCGCAAGCCTATCACCATCAGTGTCCCCTTTCTTACTTCCTTTTACCACGCAGACTTCACACGATCTATCTGAGAAAGCCTTCTCTTCCTTTTCCTCATCTTAGAATTTTTTTTTTTTTTTTTTTTTTTATGAGGCAAAAGACGTAAGTTAAAGTGCCCATACCCCACCACCAACGGTTTATATATTCAGGGTGAAGTACCTCCCACTGTTCCTTCATAAATCAGAACAATTCAAAAGGAGTCCCTGGGTAACCAGAAAGGTTAAGGCACTGAACTACTTGCTGAAAGCTTGGTTATTTGAACCCATCCAGAAGCACATTGGCAGACAGACCAGGGGGTCTACTTCTTAAAATTTATAGTCTTGAAAACCAGCATAGTTTGACTCTGCACACAAGGGGTCACTGTGAGTTGGAATTGACTTGAGGACCACTAGCTACAATAACTACAAACCTAAGACATGACCGGGGGAGGGAGGACCAAACCGACAGAAGCATGTTGAAATAAGCTGGACAGTATGTAGCATAAGAGACTGTCCACAGGAGAAGCTGGGGATTCTATTAAGAGCTAGTTAGGTATATGCCATTAATGAAGTAATTCTGCTATATCAAAAAATCTCCTACTTTTAAGAGAAACAATCTTCTGAGCAGTGTAATATGTGGGTAGAAATTCCATCCTCACTTTTGACATCTACACATAGTAAGCTCTCAGTTCATTTTATTTTTGTGATTATTATTCCCATTGCCAATATTTCATTTATTTGGTAGAGGTGGTAGTTAATGAATGAATGTCACTTATCAAATATTGAGCCAAATGAATTTCAAACTCTACTTCTACAATCCATCTTGGAGTGATGTACTGTAACTTTGCAATACATTTCTTATCTTTTTATGGTCAGAGACCATATTCCAGAAACTGTAATGAACACCATTGATTCTGTCATCTATATTTAATTATCCTCATTTTAAAAGTATATTCAAGAGAACTTCAATGTTAAAACTTCTGAATCATCAGTATCTTTAGGAGATAATTTGATACAAACATGAATTTAGTATCTCTCTTAAGGGCTTGGAGGATCACTATAAATGGAAAATGGCAGTGTCATATCAGGGCATAACAAAAACAAAATACCCTTTAAAATAAGATACAACTACAAAAATAAAATGGGAGCTCAAATAATGAAGAAAAAGAAATATTTGCTAATTTTTATTATCTATAACATGTATTATCTTATAAACTATTACAATGTACACATAAGGCATTTTGTCTATTTTTACCTGCTTGATCTTTGAATATTTTTGATATGACGACAGGGACCTTGTGTTCAGCACCACCCTGAAAGACACAGTCAACAGAAGAAAGTTGCAGTTATCATAATTTTATTGAAAATGAAAAGGTGCATTGAAAAGGAAAAGTAGGAATAGTAAAAATATATTCATACCTTTATACTCAGGCCCAAGCCTCCAATAGGTTGTCTGCGAAGTGTAACAGTTCTGTGCTTTAAAAAATTTTAGAGAACAAACTAAGTTTAGGTTGAAGTGCACTGTCAGAAAATGAATATATAACTTCTTAATTTAAAGCAAATATTTAAAATGTATTTCAAATATTGCTTAAATTTTATACTAATCACAATATTTTGAATCTTCAATTTTCTATTGCAATACAGAAATAAAGATATTGATAAAAGTAGAGCGTAATGCATGAATTATTTACAATCCATACAAAAATCCCACAAAGTTGGCCACATTATCCCAATTTTACATATAAGCAATGAAAGCTCACTGGAATGTTCTCCAAGACAGTAAATATAGATGTTAAAACACAAACCACATATTCTCTATTTTTAAAATCTTATTTCTTTCCACTAGTTCCAAAATGTGCTCCCCTTTCACTAGGCTTCTCTGCCTAGTACAATTATGCTTATGTCAATTTAATAATCAGTATTAATTCATGAATTGTCAAGTTTTTTCCATGATCTATAATCTTAGGTGGAGACTAGATGATGCAGTGGTTAAGCATATGCCTGTTAACCAAAAGGTCGGTGGTTCAAATCCATCAGCCACTCCTGTGAGAAACCTATGTCAGTTGGCTTCTATGCAGTTTTACCTTGGGGACCATATGGGCAATTCTGCTCTGTCCTACTGGAACACCGTGACTCAGAATTGATCAAACAAAATTTTATGCTCATGAACAAAAAAGAATCCACTGCAATCAAGCAGATTCTGACTCATAGTGACCATATAGGACTGAATAGATCTGCCCCATAGATTTTCCAAGGCTGTAATCCTTATGGAAGCAGAAAACTTCATCTTTCTTCTGCAGAGCTGCAGTTGGGTTCAAGCTGCTGACCTTTTGGTTAGCATGTGAATGCCTTAACCACTGTGCCACCAGAACTCCTTAATAGCAACTCTATAAAAACAAAAGCCAAACTCACTGTCATTGAGTCAATTCTGATTCAAGGCCATCAATCTTTATAGAAGTAGATTGCTTCATCTTCTTTCCATGGAGTGGCTAGAGGGTTTGAACCACCAACCTTTTGGTTAGCAGCCAAACGCCTTGGGCACTGAGGTACCAGAGCTCCTTAATAGCAACCCTATAGGTGTTTAAACTTAACGGTAAAGATGATGATAAGCACCTAAACATATAATAAGTCCTTACATGCTATTGAAATGTTCAGAATTTCCAAATATTTTATACATTAAATCATATGTGTGTATTTGTTGTGGTAAACTGTGTAACATAATTTCTAACATAATGCAACTAGATGTGGAATAAAGTAGCAACAACACTGAGAGCACATGGAAGAAAGGTCCTGGGACAAGATGAATACATGTAAAAATAGGATGTTTTCACATCAAAGTGTATGAATGGAATAATGAAAATGACATATATTACTTTAATTTTTGAGTGACAACCTAAGAGCTTTCACATTGAATAACTCTTTTAAAAGAGTTTATGTATGGAAAGCAAAGATGGAAGAGTAAGAACGATCAGGAAATCTTTATGTAACAGGAAGAACCTTGCTAAGCTCATGTTCCATATATGCTGTATGCTTACTGCCAGCAATAAACACGGACTGATGAGAAAATCTGCTGTAGCATTTATAAAATTTTCTTGCACAACATGTAAGATTCATTTGTAACTTTATTCTTACGAATGAATATATTATGAGCTCAAGTAAAGGAGCAAAAAATTAGAGTAAAATACATATTTTTTAAGTATACATATGGGAACATATTAAGTAACATGTTAAAATTTACTCTTGATCTTGAGCTTTTTAAAACATATAATATTAACTGATGAACTTTTTATAAAACTCATATATATATATGTTTATTTCAGTATTTTTAGCTTCTTATAAATCACTTTTATCACTTTTGTCTTTTCCCTGCCAGCCTTCTGGTTAGCAGTCAATTGCCTTAGGCACTACACCACTAGAGCTCCTTATTCCTATGGAAGACACTGGTAAATGTTGTGTTGTTATCTGCTATAGGGTCAGTTCAGACCCATAGCGACAGAAACACTGCTTGATCCTGCACAATTCTTGACATGTTTGAGCCCACTGTTGCAGCCACTGAGTCATTCCATTTTTTAAGGGTCTTCCCCTTTTATTTTTGACCCTCTACTTCACTAAGCATAATATCCTTCTCCAGGTAATGACCCTTTTGACAACATTATCAAAGTAAGTGATATAAAGTCTGGCCATTCTCCTGTCCATGAGCTTTCTGGCTGCACTTCTTCCATGGCAGATCTGTTCTTCTGGCAGTCCATGGTATTTTCAGTATTCTTACCCAATACCACAATTGAAAGGCATCAACTCTTCTTCAGTCTTCTTTATTCATTGTCAAGCTTTCACAGGCATATGAGGCTATTTAAAATTCCACGGCTTAGGTTAGGTGCACCTTAGTCTTCAAAGTGACATTTTGCTTACTACTTTAAAGAGATCTTTTGCAGCGGACTTGCCAGTGAGAAACAATGCCTGATTTCTTGACTGCTGTTTCCATGGCTGTTGATTTTGCTGTTAGGTGCTGCTGAGTCAGCTGTGACTCACCATGATCCTATGTATAACAGAAAGGATTCCTAAGGGGTGCTGTGCCATCCTCACAAATTTTGCTATTCTTGAGCTCAACATTGCAGCCACCATGTCAATCCATCTTGTTGAAGGTCTTCCCTTTCTTTTCTGATCCTCTACATTGCCAAGTATGATAATTCTTCACTAGGGAGAAGTCTTTTCTGACAACATGACCCAAGTAATTAAGATGAAGTTTGGCCATTCTCACTTCCAAGGAGCATTGTAGTTGCACTACTTCCAGGACAAATCTGTTTGTTTTTCTGGCAGTCCATGGTATTTTCACAATTTTTCGTTAACACCGTAAGTCAAATGCATCAATTCTTCCTTGGTCTTCCTTAGTCATTGTCCAGATTTCACATGCATATGAGGTGACTAAAAATGCCAAGCCTTGGGCCAGGCACACATTAGTCTTCAAAGTGATATCTTAACTTCTTAAACTCTAAAGAGGTATTTTGCAGCAGATTCTCCCCATGCAATATGACCTCTTATTTCCTGATTGCTGCTTCTATGGGTGATGATTGTGGACCCAAGTAAAATGAAATTCCTGACAACTTCAATATTTCCCCATTTATCCTGATACTGCTTATTGGTCCAGTTGTGAAGATTTTCATTTTCCTTATGTTAAGGTGTAATCCATGTTAAAGGCTATAGTCTTTAATATTCATTTT